CAGGAAGAGTACTGTAATACTGACTATTACTAAGTACTTAAACATGTGTATTGAAAATTCCAGACATTGAACAAATAGATATGCAGGAGAAGTTCTGTACATTCCAGACTTTGAGCAAGTACAGATACAATAAAAGTGCTGAACTATTCCAGACTTTGAGCAAGCACAGATACAATAAAAGTGCTGAACTATTCCACACTTTGAGCAAGCACAGATACAATAAAAATGCTGTACTATTCCAGACTTTGAGCAAGTACAGATACAATAAAAATGCTGTACTATTCCAGATTTTGAGCAAGTACAGATACAATAAAAGTGCTGTACTACTCCAGACTTTGAGCAAGTACAAAAGCAGAAAGAGTACTGTACAATTTCCAGGCTTTAATCAAACATAGAAGTAGAAAAAATGCTGCAATATCCTAGGCTTTACAAAGTACAAAAGAAAAGGATTATTTTAAGGTTCCAAGCTTCAGCCAAGCAGAGAAGGAGTATGTAAAACACCATGATTTGAACACTAAAAACAGCAAGTATGATTTCAGGCTCTGACCAAGTACAGAATCAAGAGAAGAACTGTACGGTTCCAGATCTTGAGCAAATACAGAAGCAGGAGAATACTGTAAGATTCCAGGCATTAAGGAAGTACAGAAGCAGAAGAATATTGTAAGATTCTACATTTTGACCAAGTACAGAAGTAGGAGGAAAACTGTAACAATAACCAAATACCCCCAAGAGGAATTTCAGTTGAAATTAACACCAGAAATTGTTTGTACTGTAGTTTGGTTAACATGAGCAAGTTTGGGATCAGTTCAGCTGATGCATATTCTAACTAAACTCACAATTTATTGTTAAGTGAGAGAATAATGTTGTTGTTTTTTCCTACATCCAACATCTTTTAGCTTATCTTTAGCCTATTGTAAAGTTAGATATGAATCAATAAACTAGTTCTACTACTAAAATAACAGAACAGGTTTAGAAAATCTTGCTGTGATAAAACAAAATATGCTATTTTTATATCTTCATACATTATTATAATGAGCTGTCAATTTTCTTTTGGCACTTAACCATATGGCTACGGGTCACTGGTCAAAGGCCATGTCATCGTGTTTGTTGACTTGCATTCAAAATTTTATTGAACTACTATTTCATTAATTTATGTC